TTCTTTACATAAAAGGCATATTTTTCTTTGTAGGTCAACCAGGTCGTGCCGGTAGTCGATAAGGTACATGCGCATTAGAGAGCAACTGACAGCTCGACTAGTTGGTCGATCGGTCGCCGGAGCATTGCCCCCTAGCAACGATCAGCTGTTCGTCCCTTTCATTCAAGGTTTTTTACTTTCTAACATATATTTGATATGAATGGCGGGTTTATTGATTTTGTCGTTGCAGGAATTGAGATATTTAGGGCGGTGCCAGAACGTGTACGCGAGCAGGTGGAATTTTTAGAATATAATAACTTTAAAAGACACAGGTTAAACCTTAAAATATTCGTCATTATGTAAATATTGTAGTGAAAAAATGATATTTTAATATAGAAGGTAAATCTCCTTAATAACACAATTTTGACCCTTTCCTTGACGTGAATATAAACAGTTTAATCTTCGTTAAAAAAATCTTAATTAAATGCGAAAAAGTTTAGGAAAATCTGAATTAACTAATAACGACAGAGAAAAATCACCGGACGGAGGGGACGGAGGGGGCCTTTGTAACGAAAAGGAATAGAAAAATGTATATATCCAACCCAAAAGGGTGAGATAGAGGAGTGAAGGGTGAAATATCCCCCCGAAGGCGTATCGGTAACCATTAAGAGAGACACCTGCGAACTCGATAAAATTTCTGAGTACTTAGGCACATTCACACATATACGCGTAGTGTGTAGGTCGTAAAATGATGTTAATAAGGTTTTAATAAAGATTTTATAATTTTTATATTTATGAATATACTAAATTTTTAGTAAATTAATAATAATTAAAAACCTCTGTTTTATTGATTTATTGCAAATAAATAATTTTTAGTTTAAATTGTTAGTTAGTTTTATAAAACAATTTGTTTTTATACATTTCTTTTTATTTAGTGATGTAAAACGTTGCTTCAACGTCGACTAATGTTAAAAATGATTCCATTTCACGCCCTTCACGGCGATATGATTGATGTTCACAAAACAATGGAGGGTCGTGTCGATACTCATTTTCATATTATTTTTAATCGGATATAATACATTAAACTTTGAATCACCGTCAAACATTTTAACTAGCCATTCCTCTTGACTTTGTATAATCTATTTTGGAGAAACTATTTTTATGAGAAAATATTTTAGAAATACATATATGGATTAAATCACATTAACGACAACCTTCGTTGGATAAAAGTAGTAACTGTTACATATTTTGTGCGAAAATTATTAGATTAAAACACAGCTATTCATACAATTTATTTATTAAATCATACAAATATCATACACTAACCTACATCCATATCTTCAAACTGGATGAAGTTACTCTAAATATATCACAGATAATTAGAAAATTAAAAAATAGTTAACTTTATTTTTTATAAAGAATAGATAGTTTATAACAAAGTTCCATATGATAAATGATAGAGTCGAACGATTGTGTAACCGTCGGGCGGACCGGTCCAGCGACCAGTCGACGGATCTCTCCTTCAATGAGCAGTCTAAGGTCAGGATGCATACATTCAACTAGCTATTGTTCTCTACCATTCAGTAAACGTTTACTTGAAGTGAGCTATAAATATTGACTTTCAATTGAATTAATTCAGTTTTCTTTTGCAATATTATCCTTTGCACATTCGTGCTAGTTTCTAACGCAAAATTTTTTATTTTATTCGTAATAAGCGATATATGGCCTGAGTAGAATTATTACATAAATTACTTAAATGAGAATAGAGTCCGTGATTTTTTCGGAATTGAATTGAAATATATTTAAGACCACATCGCTTCAAGCAAAGCTTCAATAAATTAAATAAAACATGACTATAATAGCTCTATATTATTTCTATAAAAATTGTTTGTATTTCCACCTCGATCAGCGCAAGTACCGGGTATACCCAGGGATGAAGGAAACAAAGCCCTCACTGTTATTAAAATAAGTTCGGTGCTGCCACTCCGGGCGACCCCGAGCGAGGGTGCGGGGAGCGCGAGCGTTAAACAGTATTAGGCATTTGAAGAGGGTTAGTTATTTTCAAGCTCAAATGGAGAGCTTAGCATCGCTCTATCATGTTTGCTGACTACGTATGCCTGATGCGATTATTTTCCATTAGTGTTTTAAAAATATATTCGTCGTGTATCCGTATGTTGATAGAATATTAATCCCGTATAATTAATACTTATATAAAATCTCTCATGCAATATAGAGTCAAAAAGTGTAAAATTAAAATTTAATAAATGTAATGATAATATATTAAAAAAATATGAACTAATTGACTCAATATAAGAAAATTTTATATACATATGATTAACATGTAATAGATTATTTAATAAATGCACGTACATATCTGTCTACATGTCTGCCTATAAATCTGTAACTTTTGTTGTTTTTTGTATACATTTTCGCAGGTTCTATTCACATGTAAATAATGTATTGGAGAAAAATATATTTGTAACTAGAAATAAAAGCATGGTCTGAACTTTATAAAAGTCTTTATTTTGATCTTGAATTTAAACGAAATTGTAGATCAAGCCTCGCTTACCCTAAAAACGGAATAGACCTACATTTTTTAGTATTACGTTAGTTATTCTCTACATTAGGAAACGAACTGGCTTCTTATTCGTATGACATAAATTCACTTTCCTCTACACTTGGCTCTCTACCAGAGTTCAGACGTCGTTCGGCCATTTTGTAACGCACTTACATTATTGTACACATAATGACTCTACATCGCTGGGAAATTGATGATATATGGAGATTGACCAGTGGAGTCGAACTAAAAGTAGTTTAGTTAGTATATACTTTTGAATAAAATGAAACAATATATACAAATACATACATACCTGTTCCTTAACGTTAATCTAATTATAAAAACTCAAATTTAATCATTTTAAATAAAACTATAGGAACACTCAATAGAAGTATTAATTAATTATTATTTTTAATATAGTGAGATACTTTGTTAATATCATAGACATAGAAATAGAAATAGAGAGTGGACTGAGTGTTTCTTTGCCAGCCGTCAGTAGAATATAGCGGAAAAGTGACAAAGACAAAACGAATGTGCGGCCAAAAGTCTTCGGTATTCATTTAAAATACGATTAATGAAGATAGATATCTATAAACATTTTACATTCCATTTATAAATTCAAATTGGAGTAAAAGGCTGCACATTCGCTTTCTTTCTCTTTGTCAAATTCATGACAGTATTGCTCATTCCGTACTCTACGTCTATGGTTAATATTTTCCATTCTTACTATATACATTTAAGACGTCAAAATCTCAGTTCCTACCGTGACTATGTTTGATGTAAAACATTGGGATGATCGGGAATCCAAAAAGCAAAATAAAATCGCAAAAAAGAGTTATATTTAAAACTAGCATTTCTCGCGACTCCGCCCGCGTTCAGGTGATCAAAAACCAAATTCTTAGGTTTTACATATAAGTATACTCTTACAATGCAGTTTTAGTATTTTTTCTCAGAAATGAGGTATTTTCCCGCGGTAAAAAGTATCCTATATGTTGACCCGAATAACCAGCTATCACTATACCAAATTTCATCAAAATCTGTCCAGTGGTTTTCTCGTGATGCGGTAACAGACAGACAGATAGACAGACAGACAGACAAAAATTCTAAAAACTTTAGATTCGGACTCTGTATCGATAATAATGTCTATTTCAATTAGATTTTCCGAAAAATATTTAGTGTACAGATTCGACTTAGTTACAATTTTATTATATGTATAGATGTCAAAATTGGCGTAAATCTGAAAAAGTGTTATGTTCCTATCATATTAAACATATTTGGTTGTTAATAACTAGTAAGACCCTTTTGCTTTGCTCGAGGCCGTCCCTAATAGCTATTCCAGATACTTATATTGGACGGGAGCCTCTTGATATACCGGGCTAATCAGTCTCTCCCTCTCCCTGCGTTAGAGTAGAACAAAGCATCAAACTTACGAATACACTATCACTACATTTTATAACAAGAAATAATAAAAAAATCCATTTTAATAGGATATATATTTTGTCTTAACACTAATGAATTGGTGACCATCGTAATTGATGTACAGTATTATATATGTCAGGATAACACGACTTTTTAAACTAAAGTTAGCGGGTTTGATTCTTATCTTAGGTTTAAAGTTAGAAATATCGATCTGGTTATTTAAAAGTGTATCGTTCTTAGAATGAATGACTTAAAATAATATAATCTTGTATAAAGCTTTTAAAAGTTGCATTTATTAGCTAACTGTCATGCTTATATACTATAATGATATACAATAATTGCGATCACAACTTTACGTTTATTATGTATAAGTTATGCATTATATATATATTATATTATTTCATCACTTTTGCTATTGAATATTAAAGATACTGATTCAATGTAAGCTTTAAATACTATATATAATAAATGTGTTAAATTTTAATATAGCTTTCCATAAATAAAAGTCCCAAAGGGTGCGATGTACACGTACAGTATCGATTGGCGGTAACCTTGGCAGTGAAAGAGGGCTATTTATACGTAGGGTGGACTCGGGGTGGCTCGCTCCCACAATTATACATCTATAGATTGCTTTTTAGGGTTGCTTTAATTTCAGATGTAGAGTTTGATAAAATTATGCTAATTATGAATAGTTTATTTTACTAAAACTTTCATAATAAATATATATTTTTACACATATTGTTAAAATATCTTAAAACTAAGCTATTTTTCATGTTAACGGGAAGTTTAATTTTTTTTACATATAATTAATTTCGTATGTTAAGAATTGAAATAGTAATTACATTCAGTGACTAAATACCAAATCTACTGTTCAAAATTAATTGTTGACACTAAACCGAAATCAAAGCTCATAATTGTAGCTCTGCAAGCACAATACAAAGATATATATATATATATATATATATATATATATATATATAACTATGTATTAGTATTATAGTCTAAATGAGCGATGCTATATATAGAGTGATTCAATATGAAGCTAATGACTGACTCGGCGTCGCTACCATCAGTGAGTTCGATGAGGCGGGACCCAATTTTCGTTTCCAAACTATTTGATTAGTTTAATAAACGATTAACGAGAGTAAATCATTGGCTATATCTATCCACCGACAGTAAATAATCGAATATTTTTTCTTTTAATTATAATTAGAAAATTTAAGTAAGGAAATGAATTATTGTAAAAAATAACTTATATTTATATTTAATTATGCTAGCTTATTAGTTATTACTATAATAGAATTGGTATATAATACGATTTTAATAATAATTAAAATATTAACATTACCTAAATCCCTGCATAGAAATCGAACTATTGACCCACTCAGTCAAGAGTATAATAGCGTCAATAGCAAGTTTTATATAAATTGTATCTCATATTCATAAATATTGTATTAGTTAAGTATAGTTGATACTTCAAAAATAAAAGCTAAATTCAAATATAAAGTCGCTAACGTAAAAAACCCATACAACTAATGTAACCATTCACTTGTAGCACACAAATGTACGAGTATCTGTACAATGTACGTGCACTGATAGAGCACTAGTTGCTATGCGAGCGCCGCCCCACACCGCCCGCCCTCGCCCCCCGCCCTCGCCTCTCTCCTGCCCTCGCACCCCCACCCTCTCTGGCCCCGGGGGTGAGTGACGCGAATGATTCTTTTTTTTAATTTTCTTTATGTGATGAGGTGATTCCATAAATGGCGCTTTGTGAATATAGATTTTCCTTGGCAAGTAGAGTCGGTAGAGCAATTTCGGTTATGCTTTTTCAATGTTCTTTTCGTTCGTATCTTTTGAAAAGCCGCTGTTCTGTAAATTGTCATTCATTTTCGACATTGTGTGTATTATTTTAACTTCGCCCCGCATTTTATTATGAGACGGCCATTATAATTACATTTATCTTTTGCGTTTTTTTTCGTTTCGCTAGAAAAATGTTTTGTCAGTAAATTAATTTCGGCAACGTTCTTTCTTATAATGTGACATAAATTATTATGAATGTTTTGAAAGCGGTTTATATTAAACTAGCAAAACGCTCGCTCGCGCTAAAACTACGACAAAAAATCTCTAAAAAGGTAGTTTCATACTTTGTATTCACTTTCATTCCCTATTTTACCCCCGTATAGGATGAATTTCGAAAAATGCTAAAACATGTATTTATTTCGTTTTATTGAAGAGCATTAATACCAAGTTTCAAGTAATTCTGATCATAAATATTTTTTTGAATTGTATTATAACGTGTTTTCCTGTGGGAATTAGATAATCTCCCGCGGTAAAAAGTCACGCCAATCCGTCACTCCGTTTCGACGTGAAAGAAGGACAAACAAATAAATAAACAAAGAAACAAACAAACAAACAAACAAACAAACAAACAAACACACTTTCACATTTATAATATTAAGTATGGATGTGAATTTTGATTAAGATCTTTAGTTTGAGCTAATTAGTTTTTATGTCATAGATCTAAAATTGTAATGATTGAGAACAAATAGTTTGTAACTACGTAATTGAAGAGAGAGAGAGATAATTCTTGACTTTCAAAACTGGTGAGTTGTACTTTACACGAAATATTAATATTGTTTGCTTCAGTGTATTTTTTTATCAAAATCTTTCGAGGCAACAATTTATTTAAACTAAGAACAATGAAAGCTGCGTAAATATTAAATATTCAGTCAAACAACACGATTTCGATAAAAGCACAAAGTCGCGTAAGAAATTTCACTTTCGATAGGAATTTTCTGTCGAGAACACTTAAATACCACTCATACTTACATTTTTACGCCTGAAGCTGTTGCTAGGCAGCTTTATCGTCGTTTTGGTGGAAACATGGCAAATAATAATAGTGCGCCATTACGAGAGTGCTCTTTGTATAGGCCATGTTTGCTATTTTGCTTTTTCGAGAGCTCAGACTCCAAATGCATAACTTGAACCTTATTGCGATAGCAATAAGGGTTGAGAATATATACTTAGGGTGTGAACCCCACGTCACGTGTTCCCTGTGATTACTGAGAGACGTTTCGTAGTTTTGGACAATGGAAGGAAATGAAATTAAAATCTGTGATTGGTGTTAGCTATTTTTGGCTTGTCGTGAAACATGAAAGTTCTTGAGTAAAGGTGTTAGACTGTTCACATTGTTTCAATTGTACTTTCACAATGAAGTAGTTGTTAATTAAAGTTCTAAATGAATTATCTAGTGTGCAGAGGTAGCGAGTTCGATATATGTGATGGAATGCTTTACTGATTACACGGGTCGCCTTGATGTGGCTTACACAAAGCTCAGCCTTACGCATCGTCTTCTCACATGTTATGAATCAGTAATAGAAAAATATCAATGACGAGAACTTAATCAAAAAATTAGCTCAATTTAAAAAAATAGTCCATGAGAGCAGTATGTTTAATAAAAAATAGACAGAAAGAAGTGAATATTAAATTTTCTCTACTTAAAAACCAAAGTTTGATCGAAACCTTTTTTTTTTCAAAAAGATGTTTCCTAATGAAACTTTTATCTGAATCGTATTTCTGGTACTTGGTCGCTGAACCTTTTTTTTTTTTTAACGTTGGGAAATGCATTTACGCACGACGTGTGGGACTCACCGGCGTAATACAGCCAGTACTACCCACTAAAACCCAACAAAACCTTCCCCCGTCTTAATGGGGCGTCGCAGGATCGCTTGCGCATTCAACTACGACGCCCCGACGGCAGGTCTGCCAAAGCAGACCACCACAACCATGGGGTTGCTCCACAGTCCACTCTGCTATCAGAGAAGTACCAGGAGCAACCCGCATGGTACACCGCCCCCCAAAGAGGGCCACCTCCCACCGGCCACCGAAGTGGGCAACCTCCCTGTGTGTTTCTTAGCTTCGCGCCCGGTTGGATTGCCGGGCACTACTAAGCCCCCCCACCACGACAAGGTGAACGCACGTTGGGGGGGTGGCCGCTGAACCTAGGACTATTCATAATGTACATTTTATATAGGTATATAATATATTATTCTACTATTCTGCTGTTAAATACAAGAGAGATAGAATGTGGGATAAGCAAAATATTCGATATTATATTGTATCGTACATGCGACGGACTTAATTCTGCTATAAATCTGAAAATAAATTTAAATAAACTCTACAAGGCCCATAATGTGTTTCGCTTATATGTATATTGAATTAACTAGAATTGACCTTCCTGAAAGTCGACGGAATATAGTACAGCCTTGGTCCACGCCCTGAATCCATATGTGGGTTAATGCCACAGTTTGATCAGAATCAACTCATTTCAGGAAAACCAACTACTGTAAAGAATTCTATTATGATTTATGAAACATGTAGAATTACTAGCATTTTCTAGCGGCTCCGCACACGTAGTTCAATGACGTGTTACCATATCTTTTAAAATTATAGCTATATTTATAGTTATATTTATGATTATATATTATTTATTCAATTGTAAAAGCTATATTACTAAATAAAGTTTCATCAAAATTCGCTTAGTAGTTTTTGCGAGTGACATACATACATACATCCATCCATCCATCCATCCATCCATACACACAAACTTGAGCGAATAGTAGGATTATAAAAATATTGCCTACAGGAAACTAAAGGCATTATTTAAAATGTTATGTCAATATTTTTATACTGAATTCGATTTATTTGTACAGTTTTATAACAAAATACTTATTATGTACCTAATCTAAAACAACCAAATGTATTTCAACATTGGTATTGCCAACGTATTATTTATTTTACATAAAAGGAAAATACCTGAAAATATACGAATTGTGACTCCATTACGAATTAAATTATTGATAAAAATTCCATTTTATGAGTTCACTAAAAGGCAGAGAACGGAAACGCTTACAATATTAATATATTGTTTGTTTATGCGACGCATCGCAGCCGCACTCGGCGGCGGAGTGTTCGCTCTGAGGGAACTCACTATGATTACTTTATGATGCACTATCATTGGATTAATACAGCATATTTCCGGGCTAAAATTGAAATCGTGGGACTTGAAAAGACGTTCTTTTCTAAATCGGAGGGTTCCTAATTTCATCCCTTGAAGGGAAGAAAGAAACGGGTCTCGGCTGAAGGGCCGGAAATTTAGTTTTGGGCGTTCTCAAATTGCGAGAAATCGTTTGAGCGGTCGATGCCTCGGGCCAATATCTGCGGGTATCAAGATGATTCTTCCTGAACCATTCCTTTCATAAATATTTTGTTTCGATGTTATCAATGACTAAGGCTTGGACAGGAGTCAAATCAACATTAGCGAGAGCCACAGTGTCATAAAACATTTGACCATTTTAGTAAAAAGACCATTATAAAATATAAAGCAAACGCATATGGGATGGTATTACTTAACTATGCAAATGGTCGAAGAACAATATTTCTTAAATCACATCAGGGGCTAACTTAAGTGACCAGGAAGGAAGTCAAATTATTATTTAATATTTTATGTAGTACGTATTAGTTTAGTAGTAAATAGGTATCTCTCTACTTGTCAAATGTAACTATTCATAAAAAAATCTCTCCTCATATAACTTATTGTGACTTAGAAATATCGTTTAATGAGTAACCCTGGCGAGTTTTATAAATACTGACCTTTGACAATATACATAGTATGAGGTCCCGATCTATGTGGTGGAGCCCTCACTATCTTTCCAGACGAAATATATTTTTTAAACAATAAAACATATTAACAAACACGGCCCAGGGGATTTTTTTATAGTGCAAGAACTCTTTTCCTTTAACAATTTAGTATCAAACGAAAGTAAAAGACTTGTAGAAAATGCTATCATACTAATAATAATGAAATGAAATTGATTAATACATCATAAGTAATGGTATTTTTTGGAACCAACCAAGTAACAAAATGTAGGTAATGTTATTACAAATTTAATGATATAGGGTTGTTATACCAAGACATTTCCTGCCTGGAGCAAAACAAAACTGTTGAAAATTTCTTGTTATTTTACAAATAAGTCAATTATTATATTTAAATAGCATAGCCCGCGGCTCCGCCCGCGTTCAGATCACCAAAAACCAAATTCTTAGGTTTTACATATTAGTATACTCTTACATTGCAAGTTTTGTATTTTTTCTCTTAAATGCGATATTTTCCCACGGTAAAAAGTATTCTATTTGTCGACCCGGATAATCAGCTACCATATACCAAATTTCATCAAAATCCCTCCAGTGGTTTTTCCGTGATGCGGTAACAGACAGACAAAAATTCTAAAAACTATAGATTCGGACTCTGTATCGATAATAATGTCTATTTCAATAAGATTTTCCAATATTTAATGTACAGATTTTACTTAGTTACAATTTTATTATATGTATAGAAGAGTAATGGCACTGAAATACCTCACCTCCTATTAAAAATATATTTAGTGTTTAGTATAGTTTCTATTTAAAATAATTGAATTTTGGTTTCCATTATTACTGTCTTTACAATTTTAAGGATTTTTTAAAAATTGAAAAAATATCCTTTCCGTGATCAAGTCGCGACACGACGGTCTTATAGATGAAGTATTGTTACCGTAAGGAAACTTAATACTCTGAGATGTGCGTGATTGAATGCGACCGGCGACACCACTCGCAATGATACTGTCATTGATTCTGATAACCAGGAAGGAAGTATTGCGCATCAGCAAAAATATATTTGACGTGTAATTAAGCTAATTTAAATTTGCTATTATTTAAAAAAATAAATTATTAAGCAACACATTACTACATACATTTACAAATGAAAACGTGAAAAATATTAATCATATTTGGTTGGAGACATTTGGTTTGGTTGATTTTGGTTTGGTTAGAGACATCTAACACTTCAGTCTCTCCCGTGACCATGATTGCTGTAAAGCATTCGAAACGTCTAGAACCAAAAATCTAAATAAATTCGCGAAAAAATCCGAAAAGATAGTTTTATTTTAAAATGTCAAGTATTCCCGTAAATCTAAGAAAGTATTATAAAAAAAAACAATCTTTTTGGCTTTATAAATTAGTTACATCTATAGATACATTAAAATTTAATGAAACAGTATCTGTGCTTTAAATATTTTTTGGAAAATTTTATCGAAATACACATTATTATCGCTAACAGAGGCCGAACCTATAGTTTTAAGAATTTCTGTCTCATAAAATCACAGAAAAATCACAGGAGGGATTTTGAAGAAATTTGGTTGGTGGTTATCCGGGTCAACTAATATACTAATACGAGCATACTAATATATACAACCCAAGAATTTGGTTTTGATCATATGAACGCGGGCGAAGCCGCGGGCAGTGCTAGTCTAATATAAGTATAGGTTCATATACTTACATATTTGTTACGTCTGTTTTAAAAAAAAGCTTATGTTCCACAGTTTACATAGTTGACCTAAATAAGCCTAAATAACCTCTTATCTAAGTACTTTATGCCGACATTAGAATGAAAATATTTTAAACCCCAGTAAGTTTAATATTTGCCCGTTTGAAAAGTGTTGTGCAATGTGCAAGGCGGTTAATTATACCGCCCAATAAAACACGGTAATTAAGTTCAGTTGTAAAATTTGCAGGTGGCGAGTGTCGAAATGATATTTCTTGTCACAGCTTGTGTGTTTATAATTAGTGGTAAGTCGTAAAATTTTGCACTGAAATATACCTATATAACTGTTCTTATAGGTAAATATGATCCTTTGCCACTGCCCTTGCTTATATTTATAAATATGTACTTATTGCAGTTGATGCATACTGGTGCAAATTTTGAAATCCTGGGTTTGAGTCCCGGATGTGGCTCAATTTACTTTCTCTGTCAAGAAATTTATATTAGCAGCCCGAAAATAGAAAATATCGTTTGTAACATTCCAGTGGTTCGAGAGCACGTAAAAGTTCGTCCTACGCTAGATTTCCTATCATTTGGACTATGGAAATGCCAGCCGCCAGGTGCATTACAGAATGCTGATGGCTAATTTATGTAAACATATCATATTATATGCTACCATATAAAGCGAGAGCTACGTTTGTCTGGCAGATATTATTTAAACGGCAAAATGCATACTAAAAACTACGAGTAGGTGTGCCTATGCACTTGCAAGTTGTATCCAACATTAAATACTGTGAAAGTTAAAAAAAAACTTTTGAACCAATATCACTATATATAATTTTTAAAGTTGGGTATTTTTAATTCAACTATAACTGTAATAATCTATATATTTATAAGTTTATTTTAGTTACTGCAAATACAAATTTCAATCATACAATAAAGAGACAACTTATGTTTGCTGGAAAAAATATATCCGACGATAAGTTAATAGTAAGCCCCTCCAGCTTTATTTACAACCATGAATTTAGTCCTGAAGATAACAAGGAAATCCTTAGGATGCCGCCAAGATACTATCCCCCAAGGGAGAGGCAATTAAACCTCAAGGTGATAGATATGATAAGGCAGCAGATATACGCAACTCAGGATAGGATAAGGCGTTTGGACCCAGTGATCGAGAAGTACAAAAACGATCCCTCATTTCGGATGGCTTTCATATATAACAGGTATAAAGTTTATCATAAAATGATACAATAAATTTCTTATTAGAATGCCCAACACACGCTTGATTTAAAATGACCATAAAATTAAGCTTCTTTGAAATTTCAATGATTTTAACGAGTTTGCAATACTGCTCGATAAAACACTCTAACTTATGTACATTTAATTACTCGCACAAATCTTTTACTATAGAAACACCAAGGTTAACTATTCTTAACCAAAATATCGGTAACCATCTTTTCTAAGTCTGTATATCATCTTTATTTCAGACTGCATCAGTTGATCATTGATATGCGCCGCATTTACACGCAGGCTTTACGATGGCGCGAGCGGTCCAAGCGCGTCGTCGACCACATAATATGGTATAGTCACTGCTTCCGAAAGTACATCGACGTATTGTACATAGTGGAGTACGTCATAGCGGAGCATACTAAATACTCCAAGATGTTTATTGAAGGAAAATAAATAATAATGAAATTGTCTTTGGGGGCAAAATAATATAAAATAATAATCTTTTGAAAATATTGTTTTTAAGTTTACAAAGAACAGTTTACAGTTACCCGTTACACGCTACACACACAACACTAGATAAGACATTTTTCAAATGAACTAGTTGTATTGTGTATGAATCAAAATCAGAGTTTCATTTCTATACAAAGCGGTTGAACGGTTACAGAAGACCCTCCAGTGGTGTGTTGTACCCCACATGCAGTAACTGGGTCTGCAGAAAAGTCAACAAATACACGCAGAGAAGTACAGTGGAATATTTCCTCTTTATCCTACTCATTTCTGATGTTCGCAAAAAAATGATTCTTGAAAAAAATTCAGAATGCTTGCTAATGAAAGATTTGTTCAACAGATCGGGAAAAGAAATACAATTTATACATAAAACCTATACAGAGATTAGATTTTTGTTCCTCGAATTCAAAATCTCACCAAGTACATTGTACTAGTAAGCATGTTATATTATGAATAAATTATATTCACTTATTGCTTTCACAATCCTCACCTATTTGTCCATATTTATTATTTATTCAACCTTTCAAAAATTATTTTATGGGAAATGTGACATTAATATGAACATGTCGTTTGATTGGAATCAAACTTTAATAAATGATGTAGTAGTAAGGTTGCTTATACATAAAACATTAAGATTGGAGACATATGAAGTATCAATAACAGATAGCAACAGCATAGTCGATGCCCAATGACATTGCTCAGATGCGATGCGATGAGGAGTTCACGCGCACGCGACCGGGCAGCTACTGACTACTGACTAGGTACCCTACTTTCTATTCTTACTTAATTATTTCAATATATACGATTCCATATATGTTAACTTTATGTTTTATACTTTTTGATTGTGTTTTATACTTTTTATATATGTTAACATTATGGAATTATTTGCTTGCTCGGGGAGATATTTAGATTCATAAACGTTCATGTGAAAGGTATCCCAGAGGTCTAACAGGAGGACGTCACATTGTGGTTTAAGTCTAAGAAATAAACATATTTACGTCGAAAAATTATTATGTTGGAAGTAATGTGAAAGAAATCATTCACCCTAATACTACCACTATATACGAATACTAAATCATATTTTACTAACATGAAAGGTAATTGTTTGTGCTATTAAGTACATACTTTAAATGCAATATAAATTACAGGTATTAATACTGAAACAGACCTTTTTTATATTCAAAATGTTACTATAACTACTTATAAATACAACAAAAAAGAATTTCTACTCATACACAAACACCTTAAGACTAGTACTTTCCCATAGTATTATGTAAGCAAAAAATTTATTACTGTTTCGCGTTTGTTCGTAAAAGCGATGCCTAGTTTCACTGGTGAATTCTTGTATTTTTATGATCGATGTAAATTCTACAGTAGCCTTCTATGATTCTTATTATATCGTAAGTTTTTGTGATAAGTATCTTTGTTTTCCACTTATCTCTGCTCCTGGGACTTCTTAAGTCCCGATTTTTTAGCAATATATATTTGATTGGATGGTAATCCCTTGTGGAGTTTTTCGTTTCTTTCCCTTCATCAAAAACTTGATTTTCACATAGGTGATACACGAAAATTCAATTATTCCGTGCAATACGTATTGAATTTGATGTGACACTGATATGCTGTGAGAGGTACCTTCTTTGTTACAAGAATATTTTTCGCATTTGATACAATAATTTTCATGGAGTGAAAAAAATCGGCTTTCATTAATGACAATGCTTTTTCTTATTTCTTATTTTATTCAGTACTTAGTATACTTTTAAATGGATTTTGTGAGTTATGGTTTGCTTGATAACTAAGTTAATAGGATTTGAAATCGCGTTCGTTAAAAATGTTTCAAGTACCATCAATATACGGTAGTAAAGTAAATTCTAGAAGGCGCAAAATACTTACGTCTACAAGTAGGATCACTATAAAATTATTTATTTTTAAATGTATGCGATGAAATTGGACCTGTTATCTGTCTTTATCCTTAGAAGGGCCCAGTTACTTCTTGAAATGTATGTTAAAAGTATGTTTATTTCTCTTATTACATCTTCGTAACCCACTATACCTACTATATGCCTTTATACTATATGCCTTTATACAGTCTACTCTACTAGAAACTAAAGATTTGATTACCTTCACACAGTGCCTAAATAAAAGGTGCTTGCATTTATTTCTTGACGCTAACTTGAAATCAAAGTATCAAGTAAATACATATATGCACAAATGGCGTGTTGTTTACAGCAGCTATGGCATTAAAGTGGAAAGGTCACGAGATTGAAAAATTACTATCCTCGACTATTTTTATACGAAAGGCCAAGAATGATTTGAGTTTCAAATACAGTTATTAGTAAAGCAATGAAACTAGTTCTTACGATATTATGATATGAAGGCTTCAATGATAAAGATATTAAAGACGTTAAAAAATCATTCTAATATTAGAAATGTTCAAAATAATTTCTTTTTTACGCCTTATTACCTAAATGTTTTTTTTTTTTTAACATTCCGCCCGCGCTCGACCTATTGCAAGGACACCAGACTACGTTTTCCTCTAGTTTATTATGTGGTTACCATGAGGGATATTATTTTTGTATATATAATTGATCTGATAGTTCATGTCGGTGCACTTAGTGTATAACAATAAATAAAACACACGCTAGAATATAAATACTAAAAAAATATTACCAAAAATAGTCCTGTCTCGTACAACAGTAGTACAAAAATAGGTCGTAATCCGGTTTTCTCTTATGACCTACATAAAAGGTATTGAAAAGATATTTATTTAAGAGTTTTCATCAAATAACGCCGGTGCCTTTATTGTAGCTAATATGTATGTGTTCACCTCCCTTTACTACAAGGAATCTGACCATAGTCCACCACGCTGGCCAAGTGTGTATTGACTTCACATGTCTTTCGACAACTTGCTAGGTCATATCTTATCTTGCTAGGTAATCATGTTAGTAATGATTCGCACATGAAAATATTAGAGTTCGAGACCCGGGATTTTAACCAGCTTCACTCGGTTTACCAAGCAAACGGCCACAGAAGCTAATAGGTGGTTTGTATATTTGCTTAATCTCATCTACAGTATCTAAAACCTCTAGTCTACCCGTCAAGTTAGCAATGGTCTTATCTTAAGAGTAAGAAAAATCAGTTCAATTCTTTCGTAAGACTCGAGAGCGCAATTTTCTTCGCCAATAACATTTAGAAAGCGAGAACACGATAAAGAGTATATTTATGGAAACTTCATTTACATAGAGATCCCTGATGATTCAAATATTTGCAATGCACAAAGAATAGATATACTATACAATATAATACAATATTCTGGTACCTAGGCCGTGGTTAAAACCTATGTCTTAATAATTTTTGAGAGTTACAGTCAACAGTATGATGTATTTAAATGGTAGATTTGATTCTTTTTATTATGGAACAGACGGAGATTTTAATAAATATTTGTTTGTACAGAAACTAATATTTCGCTTCCAACTGTACAGTTCAATATAATAACTTCTCAAATAACAACAACAATGTACTCTCCTCCATTAAATTTATAACTTTAGTGCGACTAAATTGCGGGACAATCTAGAACTTTATTATTATTTCCTTTATCTCATAATATTATTAGCTTATTATTTATATCTCGTCACAGCTTCTACTTGCAAGTGACGTTTAATTGATTTATATAACTCCCTCAGTAATAAATTGTCGTAGAGGCACAATAGCACTAATTGCCCATAAATGTTATGACGTGGGTATGACAGGTTTGATTCCCTCGTGAATGCGAGGCAATAATGTTGTGAATATACTACGAGCTTCCGTACTTAATATATTTTAACTCTAAGTTTGCAACTCTAGAATTTATCTTATGCTAATTTCTATCTTAAGCGGTTTAACGTTTTCTCTAGCGAATATCGAATCCATTAGCTGAATGATACGGAATTCTAATTTACGTTTACTTTAAAGTTTTATACTTTAACCAAAAAGCTTATGTTAAACGTAAATGGAAATATTAGTAATCCAAGGAAGCATCAACAATACAATAGTAGAGGCAGATATTGTTTCAAAACGCTTTCCACTTTGCATATCAAAACTAACTAATACAGACTAAAATTATTTTGGGAATAACTTTATGGGGGCTTTTATGGCTTCCAGCGGTAATGGAAGCGGTTACAATACATTATTTATGCTAGTATCGAAATGTTGACTTTGTGGAATAACAACGGCTTCAATCTAAACCGCTGTTTGTTAATAACTTGAAATAACATCACGTCTCTTTGTAGGTCTGATAAACAAAAACAAATTCGGGAAAATCAGCTCGAAAGTTTATCTTGTACGTTTTATCTCTATCTTTGCTCTGCTGTTTTTATATAAATTTATCTACATACTCGTATGTGCTCCAGTACTAACAAATATTTTAAAACATAATTTGTTACATCTTAATCTATCGGAGTCATAAAATACACTCAAATGACATTGCATTAAACTTTTACAGAATAATAAATAGTGTATAGTTAAAAAGTCATTCAAAATATTATACATTGTAAATTATTAGATCAAGCGGCGTGTATGTTCCTGTAAAACTTTTATCGATATTATTTATAAGGTGACATCGCGACGCCCTCTAGGATGAAGGAAGAGTGAGGCCATCTGATAACATGGACAGAGGGTGCGGGGATGCTGGACGGGACCAGTGCTGGAGGAGCTGTTGGAAGTGCAGATGATTCACGGCTGACTATAATGACGACATTCGACCCGATTATTTATGATACAATGTTGTCTCCCTACGATACCGGGATATCGGGATATAAGTAATAAAGTAGCGATTGATAATATTTATATCTTTGTTTTCGCCGCTCATATCGCTGCACGCGAGTAACGTGTCGCTGTAACGTTATGACAGCAACCAATTGTACCCCCTAAAGCTTAGAGATAAGAAACAGAATGGAATAAAGGTCGATGGAAGATATAAGACTCCGTGCGAGTTGTACGCTATAACCACATAGTGACAGTTGCAATTTGTTAGCTCGGGGTCCGCCCGCTTTGTGTTACAGAAATCAATACAAATGAAACCTATTGCAGAGGAATCTGGCTTTGGGAAACGGCAAGCCGGGCGGAAATCGAGTATTATGTAACTTGAAATCCCTTGCCTTCCCAAATAGCAGTCAATTTGCAAAATCGTGCGATGTTCAGTACATTCACCCTCCACACTGTACCCAAGTACACTATAGGTAGCAGGTACAACACAAGAGGCGAGTTATATGGAGATTTTAAGGTTTCTCATCATTTACCTTCATTCTTCAATAGCATTTGTTATAAACATCATTTCATTAGTACGATATTGTAAAGTTAAATACATAGGAAGTTTCATATTGTTACGCCTTAAGCGATACAAAGACTGAATAGTAATTTACCGTCGCCTTCAAATTAATCGTAGGCTCAAATCAACTTCCACATCTGTCAGCTTTTGTTGAAGTACATATTTCATCAACATAATTAAAAGATATTATGTTTGCGTTTTACAAAATCAAAATGAAATCCTGAATGTTTACATAAATTATCTCATACAAGTGTGTATTTATTTAATAAACAATGAATTCGATTCATTTCGCAAAGTCTGTCGGAGGATAATCTCCGTAAACAACATTTTTATATTACATTAATTTCAAATATTCCTCCTTCGAACAAAACAAAGCTGTAAGGGACTAACAAAATGTAAAGAAAATAAGATTGGAAAATGAACAAATTACTGGGATCTACTTAATCGGAGAGCGCGTGACGCGGCATAGCGCCCGAGATCTACTCACATCGAGTACATTTTATAGCTTTAGCTCGTATCATCTACTATTCAGAACGTACGTGATGTGATTTGTATAACTTAGGGAATAAAATTTGTAAAACCATCTCCAATTTCAAAGGTAATGCCAAAACGACTACATCGAGTCTATACAGCTCATTCTTTATTAGTTTTAGCGGTTAGTATGGACTAGATATAGTATATATTCTATGATATATAGCCTTTCCCAATAAACGGACTTCTAATGCAAAAAGAATAGTTCAAATCGGATTAGCAGTTCCTGAAATTAGCGCGATCAAACAAACAAACTGCCTCTTCATATTAGTATATATTAGCATTAAATATGGAGAATTCTAAGTAAATCAGCGATTAGTCATATTAATAAACTTTTTACTATACTACAAAAAAGTACAGAAACATCAATCCATTCGTTATCTTGCGATATGGAATTACACGGAGGATAACATTAATATGTATCAAATCTGAAGCAGTAATACCGAGTGCTTATCCATAACTTTTTATTACAAATATACATTACGTTTGAACTGAAATAGCAATTTACTTACCAAAATTCGTTGGAAGTAAATAAATCTCAGCAAATAATATTAGCCCTGTAAATATTTCAATTTGGCTCGCTCGCTCGATCGAGCGCAAATTGGGTCGCGTAGGCTGCCGGCGACAATATTGAAATTGATAAAAGCTCCTGCAAGGACGTTTTCTTAGGGCTTACTTTTATGGAAGCCCTACTTCGGGAACCAATAATGCTGATGGATTGTTGTTAATTGATGAATGGAAAGTGATTACGAGCGAGTTTTTTTAGAATTATCAAAGAAATTGGTTTTTTTTCTTAACTAAGTATATTTGGTCGGTTCATTGTCCTATTGCCCTTACGAAACACTTCTTAACTAAATATTTATATTTGGGGAGTAAATAAAAAAATACTCTTCTTTCAAAAAGTTATGTTATAAATATGCGCCTAAAATGTAAATAAAATCTAACTACACCTTACATTATATGAGAATCTATTGTCTATTTTATTCGAGACAGTGTAATAAAAAACAGATTATGCTATACAGATATACTTATAAACAAACACCATACTTAGTTTCTTCATTTATCTACAATGGCAGTGTAAACTGTAAAAATCATATATACTAGTGTCATTATGAGTTCTTATAAACCTCCATTTTGGATTCACCCACTTCCGTCTCAACTTGCTCCTCTACCCTTAAAAGTACGTCTAGGACTTGCTTCTTAATTTGATTTTGGTATTTTTTGGGCAACCTTTTTGTGCTTTGGCATACACTGGCGAAGAATAAGTCTAAAGAATCTTGGTCGCTGTTGCCCGGGTCCCACACCTCTGATTCCTGATCTTGGTCAGATTGTGCCTCGCTTGTGTCTAGTTTTATATCACTTTTCATTGAAAGTCGGTTCCTGTAAACATCCCTTAATTATTTGATATAAAAGCTGTTCTCCAATGTAGTCACTCATAAGGTTGAGGCGAAGTTCCTAAGCAACTACTAACTATAAGTTTTATTTTGTCCATTATTTGTATTCTGCTAATAAATTGACTTATTAAATAACTTTTTTTAATTGCAATATTTAAGTAGAATAACTAATATGTTTTGAGGACATTTTTACTTTTTACTTATAATATAAGCTAGTGTTCGTTTTTTATATTCAATCCACTATTTACAGAACTGTAAAAGTGACCAATGAGCAACCCTCGGTAGAGTAATAATTTCTTTGACTATTAAGCCTTGTACAAGGATCGAACTCATAATTTACAAGTGGCAAAAGGGCAGATGATTCAAACAGCCTTTTCATTGCTATTCAAACTTACGGTCTAAAAGTCATATACGGCAACACGAAGGACATGCGGTTCTGGTAACGCCACTTTTTGCAAGGAAGCCCTGCCTTAGTGGTAACGCCTTTGTCGCTCTTCTTTAGCGACTGACGCAGTGAGTCTCGGAGGATTTTCCACTCGCGTTTAAGAACTTCACCTATAAAATTACAAGTTTTTATAAAAATACACTGTTAGTGTTTGACCACATATTCACGTGGTGGATACGTTGAAAAAAATTGCTATGTTATGACATTATAATAGGTGATAACTTGATAAGATATAAGCTATCTCAGTAATAAATTTTATTCAAATTTGTAAAGTCGTTACAGCGTGAAGAAGTAACACACACAGACATACATTCATGCACGCACATACTTTAACATTTTAATATTAGTTTGATTATGTTGACTGAATAAATAAGTAAATAAATATGTTGGGACATTAACACATAATATCACCATGTAGTTCCATGGTAAGCTAGGAGGCTTGTGTTATGGATACCAGGTAGCTGATATACTACACATATATAACTTTAAATACATACATATTATAAATATAAGCACCCATGACTGGAGAACAAGCATTTGTGCTCATCACACAAATGAATTTCTCCAGCGGGACTCGAACCCACGACCGCTGACACAACAAGTAGGGTCACTACAAACTGAGCCCAACGTGTCGTCATAATGTAATAACTTATTTATGGCACCCGAAAGTAAATATATACATATTTCAGAAAATTAAAAGCAATTAACTTCAAGATATTTAAAACATAAATAACTTTCAAAAATAAACTAGAGAACAAGAAACATTTATTGTAAAGAATTTTAGGATAAAGCTTAATGACTGTAAATTTGGTCTATTGATCAAAAGCCTTCGGGACGACAGTGATTAGAGCTTCGTTAATGCAATTCATTAAGGAAAGGAACATGAACTCTACCTATTTGCTATTTAAAGAGCCGAATTAAAATGTGAAAAGACTATTTTGGAAATTAAATTAATTTTGTTAGCAATTCATGTTTTCATATTCCAAAAAATAAATCTGTATATGAATAAAAACCAATTGCCGTTCTTTAGAGCTAAAACTTAAAAACGGCTGGACCGATTTGAATAATACTTTTTTTGTTTTGTTGGGATAGTTTAAATTTAAAAAAATAGGGAAAACCAATAAGAACAGCTGGAAAATCGAAAAGTTCAGAACTGTTTATTTCGTATAGAAATTACTACAATTACAACAACGTCTCAGTTTAAGTTGGAAAAAGGTATTATATTTATCATAAAATGTATATATATATATATATATATATATATATATATATATATATATATATATATATGTATTATCCATACTAACTGTTAAAAGGTACATATAAACGAACCCGAGCGAAGCGAGGGCAAGCCGCTTGTTTTTTTATAAAAAAAAGGCATAGAAGACGTTAATGTCAAGTCGTTTAACAATGTTCAATACCTATTATAAGGCAATTATATTAAGGAGTTCGCATATGTTTCAGATCATAATAAACGACAGCGTTTTAAACGACACCGTTAATGGTTTTAACTTACTTATAAATCTTCATAATACATTTGCTTTGTTATTTATTCATTTATTAAGTCATCTTTTCAAATTTATTAACATTTGTTTTGAAATTTAAAGCATGACTTTCTTTTGTTTTAGAATGTTTATTGTAAGATATTGTCTTTGAACAAGTATTAACGTTCTCAAATTAAAAAGGCATGCGTAAAGGATTCAAAAAAGATTGTACCTAACTGTTCAAATAGAAATAACATAAAATATTCATCGTTCACTTAGACAACGATGCGATTCTATTAGCTTAATTAAATTTACTTTCATCCCTCCACAGATACTTCAAATTGAAAGTGTATTTGCTATCTTAAATGATCTTTAAACAAACCGCTTTGTTTCATAGCTAGTGGTTTTACCAAATTTGTATGTAACACAGCTCTTCATTGGACTAAGAAAACGGAGTATCAGTTGAGCTACATTTAAGGTAGAATAACCACATACGTTGACAACAAAGTAGGCATTACAAGTCCACGCCTTACACAGCTTATACCAACGAAACAAGCGTAACAAAAAACCACCGCTACTTTTATTATCTGTAGCGATCAACATGAAAACTCTTATCACTATATTCATAGAGTTCAAAATCCAATAATACTAATGCCATGGACTACACAACGAATTGTTTAATGGAATGTGAACCTTATCTCATTAGAATTAGAGTACTCACAATTAGCACCGAGTCGGTCAGATATCTCCTGCCAGCAGCGATCTCTGACGTCCACATCGCGGTGGTTCTCGTGGTTCGTGTCATACAAGACGGGGTATTTCTTCACTTCGTCGATCAACTTTTCCCGATATTGCCTTGCATTCATTATAGTCAGCCGGTCAACGCGTCCTCCCCACACGAGGCGCGCGCTATACTGCGCTATGGCAAACGATGTGCGACGTTGCCGCCCCGCGCGCGCTGTATCGCTCATCGCGCTCGGTGTACGGCGTGGTTTACCACAGAGGCAATTTCGTGTAGATATGGCTTCCACTTTTTACCTGTTTATCTAGAAGTAGCATGTTTTTAATAATAGTATTTTAAGTTATTATGTTAAATATTATTACGTTAACTTGATTATTTGATATAATAATTTTTTGTTAAATTTCATTAACATTATTTTATTCTCGATTCTTTATTTTTAGTAAAAATAATTACATTCATTATTTTCAACAAAAAATATAAGTATGTAGGAACCTTCACAAAATAACATCCGTATATTTAACATATAATCAGTAAACATTATTAAACAAATTATGTAAATTTTGAACAAGCACAAACATTTCACAAATATTATCAAAAGGTATATAATTATTTTGTTTTCACAAAAGCCATTTCTGCTTCGGGTGAACTCTTTGACCTATCGCGGGCGGGGCGCGCCGATGCCAGCTCGCCGGGTTCTCTCCGCTTGCAACGTCGCAATGTCTTTTCAATTACTTGCACAACTACAGCGCTTTAAGCGCTCCCTGACTTTTAATACAAGAATCTCATAACCTAATTTAAGCACTACAATCGCTTTCGTTTTACAATTTTAGTATAATGTAGCGCTGTCTTGCGCTTTCAGTTTTTACCATTATCGTTGGTATAAAAGCATAATTTAAAGCACTTAAAGCGCTTGATAAGGTCAAATTTAAGTTCCTTATATCGCTGACAGCATTTTGGGATGTATTTACTTTTCAGTTTTCATAGCTTCTAACTTGTAATGGAACGCTTTAGTTGTTAGTTACAGATTTTAATAAACATTTTACTTTATTTATGTGTATCTCTTTCATACTAAGTTATATAAGATATTTAATAGAATTAGATTAAAATTACATATTATTTTCGAAGATTTAATAAAATCCACTTAGAAGTTTCAAAACATTTATAACCTACATACAAAAGGGTTCCGGAGAAACTTGACTAGGTTATAAAAAAATTTCGAGGTTATAAAGGTACATCAGAAATCACTTTAAGCACCGTAATAAAATATGTATAGCCCAAGTCACACCATACAGCTTACTTTTTTAATATCATAGATTTCTATTATCAATCAATATAATATAAAATATGTCTACTCTATATCTCTACATACAAAGATTCTTTTTTTTTTACGTATCGTTATTTCAGTATTAATATAACATGAAGTAGATATTTAATTTATTATAATTCGATTTATGGTGTTGGAAAATGGAGAAACCTGAAGTTGAACAGGAATTCTAATCTATTTTTATAATAATTTTCACTACCTCTGTTTAGCTATTTCATGGATAGTCAGGAGGTCTTGTAATCGAAACCGGCTGGTTCAAGAAGTAACTAGCAATCTACAGTAGCATTACATATTAGGAGTTCCCTATGATATATTATTCCACTGGTTTAAAGAGCTCATAAAACCGTCAGTATATTTCTTCTACTAGCTTCTATCTCATTTTTTTTATTTTAACATTGTTTAAATAAAAATTGTAATGTATAATGTTCTACATTTATACATATAATAAAATTCTGAGTCGAATCTGAAAATTAAATATTTATTATGGATTCAGAGGTCGAATCTTTTTAGAATTTTTGTCTGTCTGTCTCTCTGGTTTGTGAACGCATCACGAAAAAACCACTGAACAGATTTTGATGAAATTTGGTAGTATGATAGCTGGTTATCCGGGTCAACATATAGGATACTTTTTTACTTCGGGAAAATATGTCATCTCTGAGAAATCTATACTAAACGTTAAAACGAACTAGGTACACACCCGAGCGGAGTGTGAGTGAGTCGCTAGTATAATTATAATAAAGCAAAATTCTGGTCATGCTGAGTCATTCGTCAGTTCAACATAGCTCTAAGGTTATTTCTTTCGGAATAGATAGAGTCTTTGACTCCGAGTAAAGTAATTTAGAACTATAGTGTAAGTAAAGATTTTGACTTGAACGTGAAGTTATTGCAGGAAATAGTGTACCTACTAAATATAGCGTTTGCTAAAAAACATTTTAACATTGTGTCTCTATCGGAAAGTCACGCGAATTATTATTTAAAAATCACTTATTTGTAAAATTAGTGCCTTATTTCTCTATACATTTAATACTAGTCTATCTTATCATTTATGATATTATAAAGATATTTTAAATAAATAAAAATACACACTTTACATAATTACATTGTAAATATCGTCAGTGAGGCGACTGGCGCATGCGTGTACTTACTGACCACCTCGATAAGGGCAAAGAGAGGACTAATTAAAAGGCACAGAAGAATGTCCTAAATGAACACAAAAACTATAATCATTCTTGCAGTCGAAGACATACGTGTTTTGCACTTGCTGCGAGTCTAGCTACATGTATAACGTATAATGTGTCAGACTGTATAATATTATTTTCTTTCGTTAACTTGTTCCCTTCTTTTTAGTTTGCTTTTCATGCAGTCGGGATCTTTATAATTAGTTTATTTATTTACATATTTTGAGTTATATATTTGGAGATTTAACGGTTAGTATAGATATTTTAGAGATAAGGTATTTTCCTGCAGTAAAAAGTATCCTGTATGTTGACCTGGATAATCAGCTATCTATCATCATACCAAATTTTATCAAAATCTGTCCAGTCGTGATGCGTTCCCAAACAGACAGACAGATAAATATTCTAAAAACTATAGTTTCTGTATCTGTATCGATAATTATGACTATAATATTAAGATTTTCCAAAAAATATTTATTAACGTACAGATTCGACTCAGAATTTTATTATATGTATAGATAATGTTATCTTAAATTATTATTAAACATATACTTATGTGATGGCCTCTTAACCTTCATTTTGATACCTCACTCAATAAGTTAGGAAGAACATTTTTTCAGGGCATACAAATTGGCGCCTGAAATTCGCCATTTTGTTTTTTTAATATCATCTATATAGCCTATAACACTCGCGTTATTAAGACGCATCTAATGACGTATGAATCATCAAAATCAGTTTAGTAATATTTAATACGAGGGAACAGGGGGTCAAGCAGACATACAAACATACAGGTCAAACACAGGAGAGTTTCCTTTGGGCTTCTCGGCAGTCGGGTAAAAAGCACTCTACTGTTAGCTGTTTGTCTGTTGTGTTACTTTGTAAGGTTAATTTTTTACCCTTCTGCTCTTGAGTTAGAAAATGTAGTTGCCTGTAAGTAATGATACCAATAAATATACGTGGCTTTGTTTATTATAAAGGCACTTTATACATAAACTAGCGATCCCTCATCGTTTCGGTCATACGGGGCTAGATTTAGAAAAATGATAGCCTGATTCAGTCAGCCTGAGGAGGCTTCTAATAATATTGTAAAGAAATGAAAATTTAGTCCACTTTTTAAATAAAACTATCTTTTCGGATTTTGTCGCGGATTTATTTGAATTTTTGTTTCCCGACGTTTCGAATGCTTTACAGCATTCATGGCCACGGGAGAGACTGAGGTGTTACATGTCTCTAAGGTTTAGTCCACTTTTTTAATTTACCAGATTTATTTAACAGAGTACTCAGAATTAAGCAAAACATACCTCTCTCTCTCATCTACAAATTTCTATTGTACCCACTCGTATATGGATCGAACTTTAAATCAAATTCTGGTTATATAGGTATATGACTAGCGGCTCACTGTCAACTTGCACGGGTTCGCCTCTAGAAAAACAAAAACAAATCTATCCCACGGGAACCATACTTTTTTCCGGAATAAAAAGCATAGTGTCCAGACACCTCTGTGGCAATTTCATCCAGATCCATTCAGTTGTTCTGGCGTGATTGAGTAACAAACATCCAAGCATCTAAACTTTCACATTTATAATATTAGTAATACTATATAGCTTTCTTAATAGGGTCGCATTATATCAGTAAAAGAATTTACATCAAAATTCACAAACTTTATCTCCATGTCTATGACACGGTATTTCAAATCAAAGGCGTATATCAATCAATAAAACGTATAAAAACATTCAAAACCGATAAGAAAATGTGGAGAGTAAATTAAAAATATATGAAAATAACAATATTATTATATCGCTAAAATAACTAAGTCATGGTCAATAAATATAGCGTGAAGTACAAAAACTTGTTTACTGCCGTGGCGGGTAGCAACAGTGATGTGGTACTGCGAGGACTGGCGCGATTGGGCCAACGTTGGCCAAACATGTTTATTTGCTCAGATGTTTTTGAAGACTTCGTTACTTAAGCTATTAGCTTACTGATAATACATCATTTAGACTACACTCAAGGCACAGTGTTTGCTAAATTCATTACTATTACTTTTTTGTTCTAACATTTTGTTTTTTTTTCGCCTAATTTTAAACTACATATTTCAGTACGTTATAACAATGACAATATATTTCTCTAAAATTTTTATATCGTTTTTAACCGATTTCCAAAAAGGAGGAGGTTCTCAAATCGTCGGTATCTTTTTTTTATGTATGTTCACCGATTACTCGAAGATGCCTGAACCGATTCCGATTTTTTTTTATTAGATTTGATTTGCAAAATATATTAGATTTGCTTTGCATCCGCTGGCACCGACTTCGAAAATATCTGATTAGGTATCTACTCTAAATGAAAATCCCCGTTTAGTTATTTTTACATTTTAGTGCCTGGAAGTCGGTTTTTATTATTATTTTTTTAAGTTTTTATTATAACCAATCAGTCCATATTACATATTTACCAAGTAATTACATAATATGTATATATATATATATATATATATATATATATATATATATATATAAATATGTTGATACTTCAAATAGAAGGTAGATAGAAATCAAACAGTCAACTCAAAGGTGTATTCTACGTCTACCATGGAACATTTTCCTGCTCAAGAACGAACCCGTGACATCCTGCACAGTAAAGAGCCATTCTCAAGCACCACTCTGTTTGAATTATTCCAATATTATTCTAAGTATGATAAATAGAATAGATATAAATCTTTAGAGGCTGTAATAC